CCACATTTACATGTGGTTTTGCCTTGATCGGGATAATAGAAAACCTGATGTCAGGAACTGACTTTAAAATGTTTATTATGACTTAAATATTGGATATCAGGGGCCCATACATGTATTTTCATAATAAGATAACAAAATCAATATTGATTGAAAATGGACCAATATTGAATTGTAATTTTGTTTTTATTTTGAATGTTAAGGATAATATTGAGCTACATGTATACAACTCTTTAATGTGACAAAAACAGATTTCAATCACTAAATCATGGAGAGTGTTCACTGCTTAATATTTAATTAGAAAAGGTGTAAGATTAGGAATTGCATAATAATTACAATAATCACTCAATCATTGATTCTCTAAATACACGTAACACTAATTAATCTGATTGACAATATGATCAGGTTTACGTAATAAGAAATTGATAATACATGTACACCTTAATATTTATGGAAGACCAAATGGAACAATATTCATGATTCTTGTTTCTACATTCCAGTTTGAGCATTTTAGACACGAATGCAACATTCTAAACTAATGATTCTGAAAGTATCTAAAAAAAATCTGGAATTTGAACTCTTATGAAAATATTTTCTACGTTTCAAAAAGTCTTGAAGTTAAAATCTTGAAATGAAAATGTTCAGAAAAATATTATAATGAATTATCAACATTATTACCCCAGAGGGCGTTAGCGTATGTGTACAACTTTGATACAAACTATAGATTTATCATCCATTTTTGCCACATTCGAAACACGCGTAGTTATAGTTATAGTTAATATGAAAAAGTAAACCAATAACAGTGAATAGATTCCATTTAAAACACAGCATTATCATCCATTTTTGCCATATTCGAAACACGTGTAGGTCTAATTTGTAAACATGAAAAAGTAAACAAATAACAGCGAATATGTAAGAAAGGCCTTTGCCCTAATTTTTCTAGTTGTTTAAATTATAGAAGTTATTTGTATTGATCTCGAGCTTAATTTCTGTTTCATGCAACTAATTACTCTCAACACAACAGGGGCTCACTTCCACTAGTAGAAAAGTCTACTTTTCATTTCTAATTATAGTCTGTATCAAAGTTGTACACATATGCTAACGCCCTCTGGTGTAATAATGTTGATAATTCATTATATTTTTCTGGACATTTTCATTTCAAGATTTTAACATCAAGACTTTTTGAAACGTAGAAAATATTTTCATAAGAGTTCAAATTCCAGATTTTTTTTAGATACTTTCAGAAACCAATGAATTGATTTCTTTGTCGTGTAAAATTAAGATATTATTTTTTAATTTTAATATTTAATGATGTATAAAAGTTACCGATAAAACGCCAAAATGAAACATAAAGTCAATTTTTTGTTTAAAATGTTGATTTTGTGCATGAAATGTTGACATAAGAATGTAGAAACAAGAATCATTAGTTTAGAATGTTGTGTTCGTGTCTAAAATGTTCAAACTGGAATGTAGAAACAAGAATCATGAATATTGTCCCATTTGGTCTTCCATAAATATTTGACATCTATAGTACTTAAAACCTTCACATAAATTCAGAATATTTCCATTTAAGATGTACATGTATGTTTTCAACAGCTGCATTATTGTTGGCTATGACTTTATTGTTTATGTTTATTACCGATATATTTTCATCTTATAATAAATTTTGGGGTGTCAAACTGGTGATCAGTCCATTCTATACGTTTTTTTAGTATTATTTTGTTGTTTGTTAATCAGCTTCCATATTGTCTTGTAATATCTAAATTAATTTTTTCAAATATACAGGGCTCTCATGTTTACTAGTTTCTTATTTTTCCCAGGTTTGGCAGTTTTACTGGGTGCTTTTCTATTTCTAATAATAAAATAAGTAACTTTGATCTCTATGTTAAATCACAGATTGCCCTTGGTTTGTTACAATGCAATAATTTTGCATTACACAGACTTTCAGCTGGCTTGCAACTTATTATGGAATTAAACTGAACAGTATAAAATAGTCTTAAATTTCTAACATATAAATCCACTTTTTTCTTTTCTCTAAACATCTATCAGTACTAAAGCCATAAATACAAAACAATCAAGTTAACAGTTAGTGAGGCTGGTGTTCCAGATCCAAAATCCAAAATAACTAGATGATACAAATGTACTTAATTATTAATTGCACAAGTATCTGTTCGTAAAGCATCGAGCAATCAAACAACTTATCTATACTATGCAGAATATGCTCATTATCAAACTTAATCATTCATTTTTTTTTAGCTCCTAACAAGGCAGTTTTTTGTACAATAATACTTCGAAATTTTTCTTTGAGATTATTTTCATTGCAGTAATTATGTTTTAATTGTTCTGCAATACATTTTCAAGACCGATTTGGTTCAACACTGGTTTATACATATAGTTTGTGTTGCGATTCGGGTCAAGTGATGTTTTTTATAAGGGGTTGTGACATGGTTCAATTTTATTCCAATAATTTTCTTGCACATAGGGTCTTTAGCAGTGGGAGGAAAACAGAGTTTCCGAAGAAAACCCACAAGGTTGGACAGGCGACTCTACTCCTACTTTGAGTTTTCGATTTTGTTTTCTTAATTAACTGTTAAATATTCAATCTGATATTTTCCAAAAAATGCAAATCATTCAGTTACATGTGCCGTACTTTAATATTAATTATTTATTTTTATTGTTTGAAAACACAGATCAAAATATTTTTATTTATTCCTATTTCTAATCAATACAAATGTTTTCAATTTACAGTATACATGTACATACCAACTTAAGTATACCATTTGTGTGATGCTAAACCCCTTTACTGTACTCTATTCCCCCTCTCTTTCGCTATACAAGGGCATAAATTTTATCTTGGATATTAATATAATTAACAGTAAATTGAATGTCCGTTTTTTCGACAAAACAGACAAAATTGGCTTTGAAGTGGTAAAATACCCGTCAATTACTAGCAACATACCAGATGTCGCGCTATATAATGTTATCCATTCACAGGCATTACGATTTTTAACAATAGGTGTATTACGTATTATATTCTGTGCAAGCACATAGTTATAATTTCGATAAGTTCCTAAATTGATAGTTTATTAACCTTTTGGCATTGTCTTATCTGGATTATCGCCCTTTTTATTGTGGTTTTTATTACATTTTAACAGTTGATGGGCAACCTACCGCCTTTTACATCACGTCATTCAGTCAGTAGACGGCTGTCTTTGAATCGGTTTGCACCTTCTCTGTTTGCTTCTTTGTATTCAGTCGTGTTTGTTTTTTATGGTAAATGGAACATATGCCTTAACTTTATACTCAATATGCCTCAATTCTTTTGAACACTTTTAATGTTTCTCACTATAACATAGACCATTTAGTTTTAGACTACATGAACCTGGCTTTTTTATACATTTCACCGATATGGTTAGTTGTATTGGTAAAAAAAATGTTTAAATTCAATATGCTTACTTTCATATTTCATGTGGCATATAACAGATCATGCTGATATTACACAAAGCTTTTCTCTGGGTTATATTCCTGATTGTTTGTTTTTCAATTTTAAGTGAAGTCTGTATTACTACGGGACTGTACAGCACAGTGGACACTTACGGCTAGCTCTCGGATCCATTCATTTAATCTGATATGTACGTTTGTTTGTGATTTCTACGCATTGTGTCTTGTCCATTGATTTGTTTTGTGTAATTATGTAGTGCAGCCACCCCCCCCTGGACTTAGGTATCCAATTCACCAACAGATGTTTTGATATCAAAAATAAACCTCTAAATCAATATTATCATTATCTATAATATTGAATAAATTAAAAACATGAATTGGAATTCAATATTGGTCCCTTTCAATCAATATTGATATTGTTATCTTACCGTGAAAATATGGGAACCTATAATATCAACTATTTAAGACACGTGCAGTGAACATTTTAAAATCAGTACATGAGTCATCTACTCTATGGATATAATGGTCTTGAGCACAATTTGTAATGAACAAAGCAAAACATATCCCAGAAGACACTGCTGAAGTAATTATGGCTAATTCACTAACGACAAAATGATGAAATGATTAGACATAACAATTTTTTTTAAATAAGGGTGTAAGTCACTTCAAATGTAATCATATTACATAAATATGTGCTTTTAGACCCATTTTCGTCTATTTTAATTACAGTACAGAAAATAGAGCTATACACCCTTTAATGTTCAGAAAACCACAATAAAAATTTTGTAAGGAATTATACAGTTCACAAATATCAGTAAACTGGTATATACTCTGTATGTGTCTTCAGATACCGTCACATGCATATGATTAGACTGTAGTAGTGTAGTATCATTTAAGACTCCTGGTTGGTATAGAAAATATGATTCTAGACATCTACATGTATGTGCAGTACTGCAGTACCATGAATCTTTTGTTAAAACACTGATACCCTTATCATATAAACAATCAAATGTGAGTGTTAATATCAATGAACAGCTACATGTACTTTTTTCATTACTATCAGGCTTAAGTGGAATACTGGGATAACTGAAATATTATCCAGATATTATATAACATTGAGTTAGCACTTTCTTGAATATTACTATAATCAATGGGTCACGAAAAAAAAACAACACCAATTCTTAGTTTGAAGAAAAAAATTGTATTCAAAAACTTGTCTTCAAAAAATATAGAGTCTGGTTGAAACTAAGTTTTTAAGTAAAGTTTTTGGTATGAGCTATTCGCAGTTAACCAACGGTTTTCTATTTTATTTCCCGTGCCATAAATACGGAAAAATCGTGGAATATTTGCTATATATAACCGAACGTCAAAAAGCCGTATCCGAAGGTTTTTTTTACCATCATGTCAAAGGTAACTAAAGGTAACAATTTTGTTGTCGGTCGCGTGCCAATTCTACACCGTTATAAATAGTTTTTACAGGGATTCGCACATCAAATTTACCGTGAGGTTTGACTGAGGGTTAATCCTCACAGCTTATCAATCATTAGGCTACACATGCTTACCTCTCAAGTCTTCAGCGTCATCACAACAGCTAAATTCCGCTTGCTCGTGTCTGCCACTGACTTCAAAATATACAATTTTTGTTGCCATCCTACACATTATATTCTAAACTCATATAGTGTCATGACAAAATTCCATGTGAAAAACACAAAGTTCAGCCGTACATCCTATTACATTCAGTTACTCACAATTTGCTGTGTGCACCTTCCACATTCACAGTCGGCTATTGAAGGAAGTTCGTGCGGGAATAGCTGCCTACCTTGGCAACGATTTTCTGACTATAAAACCTCACTTACATCTCGAAGTTCTCTCGCCAATCGCTTAGAATATTAGATATTTATCAAATAATTGATACCGGTTAAGAAAAAGACACAACAGCAGAAGACGAATTCAGTCGAATGAGCATAATAACAATCCAGCCGAGCCACGAAACATATTCACGTGACCCCGATGTTGACAGATCGCCGTCTGCTAGACTTTTAAGCAGAGAGAGAGGCGAATGTCGCACTGCGTTCTTGGTCAGTTTGTTATCTGTTCGATTAATAGTAATTCGCATGATTATTAAAGTATTAGAAAATTTTGTAGGCAACGTGGCAGGTAACGATTTCTAGGATTTGTTTAAAATATGATATATGTTGTAGATTAAGACTATTTTGCAGCTACACATTGTTAGCCTCCGCAACAAATGCAGACTCCTTTGATACACCGAGTGTTAAAATTGATGGTGCATCTGTCACAAACCATGGAAAAATTTCATAATCTGTAGACATAGGGCATGCTATGAAAAATATATGCCAAACAATCACTGTTTTAATTGTTTTTTAAAAAGAGAACGTATTTTTGTTTTAGAGAATTGTTTTATTGAACATTATGAAATGGCACTAATATCTTGAAAACGAAAGTAGGTAACTAAAATAAATTTAGGTTAATAGCATGTGTTCTATTAGTCTATTTAAAACATTTATGGGAAAATAATTATTAATTTATTTCTGAAAAAAAAATATCAGTAGGCCCAAGATTGTTCCTCCGTAATTACTAAATGGCCCCGAAAGGATTTTAAATGAAATGAAATGAAATTGGGTTTAACGTCCTACTGTTCTGCTCCTACCGGGCTAATTAAAATGGGCATACGCCATACAGTGTGCTATGAGGGAAATTTTGCCCAGACAGTGGCACTACGGCCTACTCTTATATCAAATTTAACTGTCAAGGGATCTTGTACGTGCATGCATATATGTAGACGGGACCTCGGTTTTTCGTCCCATCCGAACGACTAGACAGCTGTCCTTGTCCTGCATAACTGACAAGGGGGAATCATGCCGGAAAATCTGGATGAACTTTCTCGGCCAATGCAGGGATCATACATCGAACACCCGATCTCCAGGCTAGAGAGCAAGCGTCTTACCCGCTTAGCCACCGTGACCCCCGAAAGGATTGTAATGTTACTAGTACGAGAATGCCATGCGTTAAAAGGGCTAATAACTGTAACCCAATCAGGCCCGTAACTAGTGGGATGGGGTGGGGCGCATTTAATCCATTTCAATCAATATCGATGTTATCTTAAAAATACATTATGCAAGAGCTAAATCGGCCTATTGCAGATCTTTCTTTAGGACAGAAATGTTATATAAACTATTAATTAGACATTTATTAACAAAACAAGACCATAATCGACTCTCGATGGCATCGGATACTCGAGATTTTAACTAGATTAAAACAGTTCACCATTTAAAAATTTATTTAAAAATGGGAAAGCGAGGCTAAGTCCCGATTATACCAGTGCCCTGGTTACCACTGTGCACACATCTTGTCAAAACTACAATCAATGATAACTTGGCTGAGAATGAAGTAATTTGAATGAAATTTTCAATATTTTCTTTTTATATTATCTATTTTTGAATTATTATAGCAAGAATGACCAACTCTTTATTAAACTCTTCTAATGTATCTTTAATGTGAAAATATCAAATATTTTAGACACAGTACATGCGTCGTATACTCTATGGTTTCGAGTGCCATTTGTAATGAGCAAAGACAAACATATCCTACAAGATAATGCGGAAGTAATGGCTGATTCACAAACGACAAAATAATAATTTAAAAAAAAACGTGTAGAATGTCCAGGCGTAAACGACTGCCGTTCAATTTGAACTGTTCCCGAATTGAATATAAATCACTATATACATTCATATTACATATGCTTCTAGGCCCATTTCCGTCTATTTTAAGGTTCCAAACAAAATAGCCATACGTCCTTTAAAAGTGGCTTATTCGCGATCTATGCTCCAATACTTCTGTTAAAAACACCGACAAGATTAGTACTACTCGTATGTAGGCCTGCCATATATTTAACATTTTGTCTTAAAAGTTGTTCTACTCCTCTTTGGATGAAGAATGGCTAAACTTGAAATCAGTGGGGCGTGTAGGGCCTATAATTTATCGACATCCTGGCTTGGGATATATTCCCATTGTAAACGATAAAGGCTTGGCACAATTTGTGATTTTAGCGCGTACGTGAGAAAGAAGTATAGCATAGCCGAAGGGCAATGTGGTTTTGACAAATATGTAAAACACAGAAAATGAATGTAATGTGTGTAACATTCCTAACTAAATACGTTAGCTCCTTTATCTACGTCACCAGTCAATCAAAGCATAGGTGTAAGTCAAGCATGACGTCATTCCAATACGAAGGCCTGCGTGCAGCATCTTTCCTACTGTCATCGGTATCTTTCAGGAAGGTAAATAGACCGATAAATGGTTTAATGATCCCTTTATCTCTGCATATTATGACATTGGATACAGCGATACAATTATTAGGGCACCTATTTGAATTTAATGGGGGTGGGGGGATGGGGGGTACTAGCTACGAGAACGTAGATAAAAACATTGAGATATGCTGATGTGCTTGTTTTAGCTACGATTTGTATGGGGCGCCGTTTGTAAATTAATTATTTAGCTTTTTATATAGCAAAAAACACTAGATTTAATTTAATTTATATATATATAGTTAAATCTCGACTTTTGTGCAAATTTTTCACTTTTAATATTTAAACTAAAAATACAACAAAAACTCAATATTTAACATAATATATATAAATATTTCTTGATTTGTCTCTATTTTCATATTTAACATTTAGCATTGAATATTAAGACCAAAACAAGAGATTTGATGATATATAAATATTTAGCTAAATATTTAGTTAAATGTTTAGACATTTAGCTAAGGATATATTTAGTTAAATGTTAAAATATTTAGTTAAACATTTATATATAATATATATTTAGCTAAATATTTATATATGTAACTAAATAATTATATATTTAGCTAAATAATTATATATTTAACTAAACATATAGTTAAATTTACAAAGCGCAACCGTACCACGCCGTTTGTAAAATAATTATTGTTGTAAGGGAGCCACGGTGGCTAAGTTGGTAAGGCGCTGGCTCGCTAGCCTGGAGGTCGGGTGTCCGATCCCTGCATTGGCCGAGAAAGTTCATCCCGATTGTCCGACGTGGTTTCCCCTTGTCAGTGATGCAGGACGGAGGGCTTGACAAGGACAGCCGTCTAGTCCTTCGGATGAGACGAAAAACCGAGGTCCCGTGTAAACATTGGAATGCACGTAAAAGATCCCTTGGCAGTTGGAATTCGATATAAGAGTAGGCGATAGTGCCGCTGCCTGGACAAAATTTCCCTCATAGCACACTGTATGGCGTATGCCCGTCTTCATAGCCCAGTATAGGAGCAGAACAGTAGGACGTAGTGTACAACTTTCCATTGACTGCAGTTCGTGGTCAGCTTCCATTTCTAATTGCTGGTAGGCCTATTGTGCCAAGGCTCACGTGTCGGGTACACGTCATCATTTTATGCGCAGTTTTTTGTGTCGCTTACGATAATAGAAATATTGGCGGGACCACAAATATATATTTAGTTAAATATTTATACATTTAGCTAAACATATATATTTAGCATGATATTTATATATTTAGTTAACTGTTTATATATTTAGTTAAATGTTTATATGTTTAGCTAAATGTTTATATGTTTAGCTAAATGTTTATATATTTAGCTAAATATTTAACTTTAGATTTTTCAGTGATTTAGTATTTAGCATTTATACCTACGAAAAACAGCACTTTTAGCTATATATTTAACTAAGCGATGTGAAATCAAGATATAACATTTAAAGTTTTTCATAGACCAAAAACTCGACTTTTAGCTACAATATTTTTTGATATTTACATATATGCCATTTTTGTTCTAATATTTATCTAAATATATATATTCGGCGTTAAATCTAATGTTTTTTGCTATAAAAAAATTAAATAATTATTTTACACACGGCGCCCCATACGATTTGATGCCTTTAGTTTCACCTGACAAATTTATACTAGTAGGACTAGTTAAACATACCCACCCTAATGTACTGGAACAACTTTCGTTACATCTGTAAATATTGTCAGTAAATTTTTTAAAACGGTGTTTCTAACAGAATTGACAAGGTCATTCTTGCAACCTATAAGGGTTATCTTACTTTTCGCGTATTTTGATTGGCTGTTGTACATGACATATTTTTTAGCCCCGCCACATGACGGAAAGATGTCAAATTTAAAATGCCGGGTCAAAGCCAGCTATTATCGCTTCGGTTTAAAAAAGATGATTCGTACTCGTGTCAGGTAGATATGTTTAATTGAAGTTGAAAACACAACACATTTTATATGGAAATACAATCACTGGTTTATAAGTATAGCACGACGTTTCGACAAGTATTCTCTTATCGTTATCAAGCACAAATGATATTTAGTTAAACTAAAAGGTGATATTTATAGTAAAACAAAAAAGAAGCCATAGACAAATGCTGTTATAATACAAGATAATAGTTAAATTGATGAAAGGATAATTAAAACTTAAATAATAGATAATTGATAGGGGTTAACAATAATCAGGGAGCAACAAAGCCATAAATTTAATATAGACAGAATAAACACAATTGTGAAGCCCTATTAATAAGAAATGTATAAAAATAGATGTATACAGTATAACACCTTAATTGTGTAATTACAAATTATGAGCTATATAACAGATAATTATATATCTCTAAACTAATTTGCTGGGGGAGGGGGGGGGAGAAGAAAGCAATATGATTGAAGTTAGGTTGTATAATAACTAGAAATGTCCAAAAGAAACAAACAAAAGAAGAAAACAATATGATTGAAGTTAGGTTATATAATAGCTAGAAATGTCCAAAAGAAACAAAATAGGAAAACTATGGGCCAATTAACAATTATTTCTCCATCTTAATTAGTTCATCATAGGCCTTTGGTATGTATAAACCTGTATCTCTATGCAGTTCTGGGCTGTGGCGTTTGATTTGGATAGCTTCTATGATTTTCCTGTTTTTCTTTTGGTGTTTATGCATGGCTAAGGTTTGGACATTCGTCCAGTCTGGTTTGTGGCCCTGGTTCGTGCTGATATGTTCTGCTATTGCGGATACGTTAGTTTTGGCTCTAGACTTATGTTCTGCAACCCGCTTGTCAAGTGGTCTTTTCGTTTCACCTATGTATGCCTTGTCGCAGGAACAGTCTATTTTGTATAATACTCCTTTTGGTTGAATTGGGTTGGTTGGTAGATGTTTCCCATTTGCCTTTAGGATCCGTTTTAAAGTTGTGGAGGTGGTGAATGTTGTTCCAATATTCACTTTCTTCAAGATTCTGCTTACTTGGTAAGATATTTTCCCATAGAATGGCAACATAACTTTAATGTCTGGTTTTTCAGGTTTATCTTTCTGGTGGGTGGGATTTAGGGTGGATTCAATAACATAGTTGACAAATTTAATCGGGTAGCTGTTTAGGGTACATAAGGCGCGTCGAAGATGGTCAAGCTCTGCATGAAGGTAACCAGGATCACAAATGTTGCGTGAAGAAAGTGAATATTGGAACAACATTCACCACCTCCACAACTTTATAATTATCTGTTATATAGCCCATAATTTGTAATTACACAATTAAGGTGTTATACAGTATACATCTATTATTATACATTTCTTATTAATAGGGCTTCACAATTGTGTTTATTCTGTCTATATTAAATATATGGCTTTGTTGCTCCCTGATTATTGTTAACCCCTATCAATTAACTATTATTTAAGTTTTAATAATCCTTTCATCAATTTAACTATTATCTTGTATTATAGCAGCATTTGTCTATTGCTTCTTTTTTGTTTTACTATAAATATCACCTTTTAGTTTAACTAAGTAAGTTAACTAAATATCATTTGTGCTTGATAACGATAAGAGAATACTTGTCGAAACGTCGTGCTATACTTATAAACCAGTGATTTGTATTTTCATATAAACTGTGTTGTGTTTTTAATGTGTTCAATCGCTAAATGCCACTCAAGGATTAATTGAAGTTGGGTGTGGCAAATGTCATAAATAACAAAAACCAATCGTTGTTTTGGAGAAAGAAATTGTCAGTTTTGCTCATTTGAATCCCGTTGCGATTAGCATTGGGGTTTGCCAGTTGGATCTATAGCACCATCTCTTATATCGGAACACGAAGGGTTGAGAGGTGAGATTTCTTATCTAGGGCGAGCACGAGAAGCTCAACCCATACAGGTTTAGATCAGACAAGGATTATCTGTTTGTTAATCATTCTGAAGGTAAAAGAGAAACTTAGAACATTAAAGTCGAAGTCTCTATAAGGCGCAACTGAGGCATGAACGTTCCCCATAAACATATCCTAGGACAGCGATAACCCCTTGGCCGAAAAGAAAGCTCTCAAGGACAAACTGAAATACGCCAACGACCTTAGTGTCCCCAATCTGATTCCGAAGAACAGACACGAAATTTTCGAACTTCTCCCAAATACGCGTTATTAGTTGGGTCGAGAATAACAATAAATTGGGTACCTGATCTTCCTATTTGGAAAGTCTTGCCGAAAGTAATCAGTGTTGGTATTCCACTTTGCCATGGCTATAAGTTCAACGCGAGTTGATAAATTATATACGGTATTTGACGTCATTGTACATATTTTCCAGAATCATATATCTAAAAAGATAAGAAATGTATGGAAACAGTAATAAAAACAGACGTATCTAGTATCTACTCTGTTATAACAAGATATTAAATACAAAACAAACGAGTTTATATGAAAGATACTATTCGTGATCACCGCATATAGATTTACTGTTTAGCGTATCTTTGCTTTAGTGTGTAACGTTTAATTTGCAATGAGACGTCTTCAACATGATGAACGTCTACGTGCTATTGGCATGCCTCAGATGGGTTCTACACAGCGAGCAGTAGCCAACATGCTTAATGTGTCATAGTCTGTGATCAGCAGACTGTGGAACCGGTACAAACAAACACACAATGTTGATGATAGACCTCGTTCAGGTCGTGCTTAAGCCACTACGGTAGCCCAGGATCGATACATTCGTACACAGGACCTGCGAAATCGAGGAAAAACGGCCAATCAGATTTCTGTAATCTTGTACCAAATTACAGGAATTCGAGTTACACCCCGAACGATTAGAAATCGGCTACATGCAGCCCATTTGCATGCGCGACGACCGCGTGTTGTGCCTGCATTAACTCGCCAGAAAATGGCAAACAGGCGTCAATGCTGTAGGCAGCGTAGAAATTGGGGTAATCGTCGATAGGCGCGTTTGTAATGTTCTGAGATGTGTCAAGATTTACTCTTTATTTCACCGATAGGCGTGCTCGCGTTTGGAGGCATGTAAATAAGCGTCATGCTAACGTTAACGTTATGGTGTGAGGAGGAATCAGCATGACTGGCAGAACGGACTTGCATATTGTTCAAGGAAGGGTCACTTGTGTGTACTACCGTGACCACTTCCTGGCACCGATAGTCCTGCCCTTTGCTCAACGTGCAGGTCGACGTTTCATCTTTCAAGATGATAATGCCCGTGCCCAACGCGCTCGTGTCGTGAATGACTACCTCCAGCGTCACCATATTGTCCATATGCCTTGGCCAGCCACGAGTCCTGACCTTTCCCCTATAGAGCATGTCTGGGACATGATCGGGAGACGTGTTCGTCGACGTCAACGTCAACCGACAACACTGCAAGAATTGACCGTGGCACTGCAAGTGGGTCAGATTGCTGAATGTCTGAGGATTGGTGGAGCAATTACTCATTATTAAAACAAATATCAAAAACGTCCATTTTCACTTTTGATAGTGTATCTCTTTGCGAGTGAAATGGGGTCGTCAGATAAACCGCCCATATGAACTGTTTATGTTCATGTGTAGGCAATTGGCCTGTTAATAACATACACTGGTCACCTCTAATAAAAACAGCAGTGCATTTCCGCAGTTTTGTATTATTTTTGAATATCCCCTACTTTTTTGAAGAGTATATTATTGTTCCCCGCCTTTCGAAGAAAGCAGGGGACTATTAAAATGAGTTCGTCAGTCTGTCTGTCCGTCCGTCCGTCACACTTTTTTGGACACGATAACTCTCCATCTAATTGAGCTAAAAATTTAAACTTGGTGTAGGTGTTTAATAGGTCGATGCCTTGATGGAGTTCGAAGATGAACATTTTCTGCTTAGGGTAAGCAGAGATAAACAATTAAATTGGTTGATGCTTTGAGACACGATAACTTTAGTTATAATTAAATGGGAGTGACGGAACTTGGTGTATAGTTTCATTGCATCAATACCTTGACTGAGTTCGATAATGAACACTTTCTGCTGAGGGTAAGCAGAGCGATAAACAGTTTGATTGGTCGAGACTTTGAAACACAATAACTCTAATTGAGGTGGAATGTTCAAACTTGGTGTAGGCGTTTATTGGGTGAATGCCTTGACGGAGTTTGATGATGAACATTGTCTACTTACGGCACGATAACTTTGGTTATAATTAAACATACATTAAAGCCCTTTGCTTAAACATATATTATGCAAGAGCTAAATCTATTTACTGGATTATAATCCGATCTGCTGCTCAACGCTCATTCATCATTAAATCAATAAATGGATAATCGAGACTAATAGAAACTCTGCTTTTAATTGGGGTAAAATGTTGATTAGGTGAATGTCTTGACTGAGTTCAATGATTAACACTTCCTGCTAAAGCTAAGCGGAGCCAAGCAATTTCTTTGACATTTTTATTCTATCTGATACAAAGTGATAAAACTTAGTGTATGGTTGATAATCAGTTTGATTGCTCGATACTTTTGAAAAAGATAAACGTGCAATTAATTTATATGTGTCATCTATTTATTTCCGGATTTCGGCGTGGGACATCAGCCTCACTGTTGGCTTGTTGCTCTGGTTTTTTGTACCTCAGTTAATTTATTGTTATGTAATATATTGTTTATTGTAACATTTTACCAATATCAGTTCTTCTGGGAAGATTTAATACGTAAATAGATAGGCGGTTATGGAAAAAGATCAATATTTGTCAATTATATCAATCATTTATTATTGTGTCATGATCATTTAATCAGCAAAAAAATCTCTTGTATTCAGATTATACATGTATTATACATGTATAATAATTACGTACTCTTGTGTAATGTAAATTTAATCCACAACAAATTTTTGCAGGGGGGTGGGGGTGCATGGGCCTGGATGTACGGTTAATATAATTTGATTTAAAAAATGGATAATCGAAACTTTGTTTACTATGGTAACAACGGTAGAAATGACGATCGAGAATCCGCAATTCTCCGAACAGCTAACGTAATGAAGTAATTTAAAATTTTCAAGAAATTCCCTTTTGATTATCTATTTTTTAACTATTATGGCGTGAATTTTCAGCTTTTTACCTAAATCTTACATAATGCATCTTTAATAAAATTGAAATGGTATAATTAGTCTGTTTGTGTATAACTAATTATTGTTGGATATAGCGGCCATTTAGGGCAGAGATCTGTTCTCGAAGAGTAGATACATGTATGTATTTCTATGTGTGAAGAATGCTGCAACCCTACCAGGTCTTGATCACTACTTTTATCGATCTATTTGATATCCTTTTATCTATGCAGGGTTCAATCATCTTGTAATTTTATCCTATTTCCTTACAGACGAGATTCTCATGATGGTTCCTGCATGAAGTATAACAATATTAAATGGCTAAAGAATATTATATAGTCGGGGAAAGAAATACAAAATAAGTAAAGACTGTTTATGAAAGTGTTGAAATAGCACAAAACGCCACAGCTGGATAAGGCGTTCCAAATAGAGAAAGGGAGAAAAATGGAGATTAACGTTATACACTCGACACAAACTAGGTTATTTCGGGACTAACATATGGTTCAATTTTATTTCTATAATTCGTTTGTGCATATGGATCTTTAGCTGTAGGAGGAAACCGGGGAAAATGGAGAAAACCCACGAGTTTGCACAGGTGACCCTACTCCTTGTCACGTACACAAGCGGGGAATCTAAACTACGCACCTTGACACATCAACAGACCTTATGATTTTACACGCACGCGTTAAACCACTCAGGCCACCCCATCCCACCCCTGGGTTCCAAATAAGTGAGAATATTATATTTTTTATTTAAGAAGAAAAGCAATCCCTCAATGATCCATAGTTTGCAACCATGTTGCCAACTGGCGTACTTGGTACAGCCAATCCTACCCCCCCCCCCCTTTAAGATGCTAGAAACGTTGCTAATGGATTGAAATTCTCACAGATTGTACCATTCCAAAGCAAACGCCGAATTCACGGGATACCCGTTGATACATAAATGGACTTTACTATCTACCCGTCGCTTTGTATTTTTCGAAAAATTAGAAAAGAATGTTTCACATAGAATGAACTAGTTTTATTGAATGAAATATATTTTGAAATGAGTATAGGCATGTTTAAGAGTCAACAAAATGCACATGTGCAACATTTAAGACTGGTAATTGCTCTCAATCTTTGCAAAGCTGGAACTGGAATTCATGATATTAGTCATGAACGAGGGGTAGGGGGTGCAAATTTTCATCCCGGGTCTGGCCTATAATACCCGTTAATTTATAATCATGCCCCCCATTTCTGCATTAATATTAAAGATAGAAATTATGCTTGTTAGAACATTTATATCTTATTGTATACAGTTATTAAATATATTTCATTTTATTGCTCTTGTTTCCTTTAGTATTCAGGTAAACAAAAGCTAGTAAAAAACAGGATTACTCGTGAGTGGACGCCAAAAGCCAAGTAATTTGACAACTGAAATTCAGATCCGAACCAATACTTTATTTTGCCATTTCAAGTGACGAGTGTCTTGCACAAGAAGGGGTATGCTGACCAGTTCTGTTAAATTCGATTCTTGGGTGATCGTAAGTGTATTCATTCTATTACATAACATATTACACCGATCCAGTTCTTTTATTATATTAATCCATGATAAAGTTATATGCGAAAGAACATAAAAATAATTTGCTATTTTAGTTTGCCCTTGAGAAACTACTCTGAGTGACTTTTAAAACATTGTTTATGCTACTATGACTTTATGAGAATGAAGTACTTTTAACCTATTATATGCTCCACCGACATTTCTTTCAATAGAGAAAGACTTTTCATCTTTATCTCTGTTGCAAATTTACCCTCATATTTTTTTTTTCTGATGAAAGCTTTGGAGGTAATCGTGTGTCAACAGACCGGATATCTGAATCACGTTAAATGACATGTAAAATCGATTCTGTCGTTTTAATATAAATTAACTCCTGATTTTTTCGAGCTGCACACTAATCGACCACGAATCTCCAATCAATAGTTTTAAATATGAGGTGAGATCGGAAAAAGTCAGTTTCTGTGGTTACAGAAAACGAACCCGAGTCTTATGTCCTTCTCAATGACATGACATTATAACTTGCATTACATTTCTTTACTCCTAGATCTTCTGTGCAATTATTTTCTCGTTTATCCGGTCACATTATTCGCGTCCTGGATCAAAGAATAGTCACTAAGTAGCTAATTGTGTTGATTTTTGTTGTTGTTAGGTTTATCTTTTTAATGAATATGTACATAGTGTCGCCACATTTTCCGTTCCTTTTACAATTCATCACGTTCTTGTAATTTGGCTATAGTGTCGAAAATCTAGTCTAACGAAAATCGAGCACATGGCATAGCCTGTAGTATCACCCAATGGGAGAGAGAGAGAGAGAGAGAGAGAGAGAGAGTTTAACATCCACTGATACAGACTAGGTCATTTCGGGACTAACATATGGTTTGATTTTATTTCAATAATTCGCTTGCGCGTAGGGGTCTTTAGCAATGGGAGGAAACCACAGCACCCGGGGAAACCCACGAGGATGGCCAGACAACCCTATTCCTTGTCACACAGGGACTCGAAGAACGAGGCTAGACATATTCCACAAGCTATATCAAACTGTGACGCCATATTCTTATCTGTTCGTTCGTTTCTAGAGTTTTACGTCCACTTCCACCTAGGGTGATATCGTAGACAATTTTTATCTGTTCGTTCGTTCGTTCGTTTCTGGAGTTTTACGTCCACTTCCACCTAAGGTGATATCGTAATTTTTATCTGGACATCATGCGCAATAAATACTCTCGGTGTAGACTGGAATAACCAGACGCTAGAGACTGCCATTCGATTGAGACTTCTGGCGTATTTCAACGAACATAACTTACCGGTATTAGAAATGACAGTAAAAACAGGAACTATTGAATGTAAATCAGTTTATATACATTCATAATACATTATTTTATGCGTTGCGACCCATTTGAGTGAAATTCTAGTCCCAAATATTAGAGACTATAAGAATGCCCGGCTTCGCTCGGGGGTCATAACTCCGAAACCGGAAGTGGTAGACTAACGCCACCTGGCCTATGTTACTCCCCGGTCCGAGCTACCCCTATACCCCAAATTTCAGACCGGGGGCAGACCTAGTGTAGCCGCCAACCCCGAACAGTCAGACAAACAGACAGACAGACAAACGTCAGTCACACATATTAGTATAGAAGATTAAGCTCCTTTAATACATTTGCAAAGCGCATATTGAACACCCATCTAGTGTATAGGCTCGTTTAAGCTATATTCTGTTTGATGTGAAAGTTTACTCCACATTAAGCCCTTTGCTTAAACATACATTGTGCAAGAGCTAAATCTGCCTATTGCAGGTCTTTCTTTAGGCCTGAAATGTTATATAAACTCTATTAATTCGACATTTATTAACAAAACAAGACCATAATCGATGGCATCGGATACTCGAGATTTTAACTAGATTAAAACGGTTCGCCATTTAAAAATTTAATTTAAAAATGGGAAAGCGTGGCTAAGTCCCGATTATACCAGGGCCCTGGTTACCACTGTGCACACATCTTGTCAAAACTACAAACAATGATAACTTGGCTGAGAATGAAGTAATTTGAATGAAATTTTCAATATTTTCTTTGTTTATCATCTATTTTTGAATTATTATAGCAAGAATGACCAACTCATTATTAAACTCTTAACTAGTGTATCTTTAAATTGAGTAGCGACTCTCGGGTTTTCCAGAATGTTTGGATTACTTAGTCTTAGGGAACTTTTTGTATGGTTAATGCGTATCTTCGTTAACCCGGTATAAGTACAGAAGGTTGTGCGCGAACGGCAAAGTTGGTTTACTCTTTCCGAAATACCTGATGCTACTCAACCATTGAGGTGTTCATTTGTGATTGGTTGAATACGATTCCAGTGTTGGCCGAGAAAGTTCATCGAGATTTTCCGGCGTGATTTCCCCTTGTCAGAGGTGCAGGACGGACGGCCTGACAAGGACAGCTGTCTAGTCGTTCGGATTGGACGACCCCATGTACACACTGGTGTCACGTAAAAGATCCCCTGGCAGTAAGAATTGGAATTTGAATAAGAGTACGCTGTAGCGCCGCTTCCTGAGCACACTTTCCCTCATGGTACACTGTATGGCATAATGCCTTTCTTCATTAGCCCAGCCGGAGCAGAACTGTAAGACGTTAAATCCCATTTCATTTCAATGCTAGATTGTGAATGCTAGTCTGGTCTCAACTGGTCCAAGTTTTCGGGAAACTTTGCGTTTTCGCTGGAACATAATAATTATCGTTATAGATTGTAACTGCCTGTTTGGTGGCAACTTTTGTCTTGTTGTACACCTTGTAGAATTTGGTTGAAACCCTCCACGTAAAGCGCGAATACCCAGTATATACTTGACATTCAGTTTTTGGGTGTTTTTTTTTGCATGTCATCACTAAATTGAGTAGACGCTTCCTTCGTAGCCTCCAGCAGTGTTGTGCGTCAAGCGCTGCTGTCTTACAAATTTGCTTTAGCTACGTTTGTGATGGTATTTTAAAGTCATCGTTATTCAAATGCCGAAAATGGTGTTTAACTATCTTAGCTATTGGACTTATGGTATTTGAGAAAACAGATCCCGATTGGGTGTGAAATTAGAAATTATATATAAAACTAGATTTATAGTGTTTGTTTTACAGATATTATCAAGGGCTCATAATAATATGTCTTAATTTCTACTTGGCATTTATGGTGCCACCTTGAAACATTCAAAGGATAGCGATTGACATTTTAGACCGTTTTATATTAATTTTGGAGGGAAACGCATGAAGTTCACTAAAAGGGTGTGTAATATACTGAAATGTAGGTTTGGGTGGATTATATATCTTTAATATGTGTAGATTCAGAAACTGGATGATGCCACTCTGGCACACTTGGGGAAATTTAAATATTCAAAATGGCCGACATGAGGCATTTTCTGGCTATTTACTTTAATTTAGTGAGGTAAAATTCGGGCAGATTCTCTCGGACCTTGGTGATGGCTAATTCCGCTAGAGAGGGCCAAATTCAAAATGGAGGCTCACTTTGGAGAGAAACTCATAAAGCCCCCCCCCCCTCAATAAGTGTGCAATATATTAAACTATAGGTTTTCGGTATCAATTACTTCAGATATAAACATAAAAACATGTTCCTCACTTTTTGGACGATTACCCAAGCTCATTGGATTCAGCGGGTCAAATTCTGATAGAAACCACCTTCTGTCGCATATTTTACCCCACTAAATAACCAGAAAATGTCCCAGGACGGCCATCTTGGATATTTAATTTTCCCCAAGGGTGCTAGGTGGCATCATCCGTATTCTGAATCTACGCATACCGACTGTGGCTCTATCATCATATCATTTCATATGACTGTTAGCTTCCACTGGTAACCGTTCGATGTAATCTCAATGGTCGAAGTTACCAACGAGAGATCTTGGACAGAGCCGTAATGCCCCACTCTGACAATTACCCTCTTCCAACACGGTCTTTATGGGCGAAAACGGTAGACCACACCATGCGCCGGGAAACACTACCTTGACGAGCCAAAAGCCCTGGCCTGACTCAAATTGACCATTCTTGGGCCAAAAATCGGTCCGAGGGACCCACCAATCTTGACAATTTGGATCAGACGCCACACCAGGAAAGGAATAGATTAAAAACGGCTCAGATCCAACGTCTTATTCAGTTAATGAAGATAAGAGTTTAAACAGGTGACCAGGCTAGCGAAAGCGACATTATATATTGCCCTTTCCATTGTTTTGACTTCGAAAATAGATCTCTGTCATTTCGGGACTAACTGTTCAATTTTATTTCATTAATGCGCTTGCGCGTAGTGGTCTTTAGCAGTGGGAGGAAACCGGAGGACCCGGAGAAAACCCACGAGGTTGGACAGGCGTTCTTAAGTTAGTGTTATGTTCTAGCGGACCAATAGTGAAACGTTTAATGAAAAAATTTAATGTTGTACGCGGAAGTCGAATTAACTCATCTTGTAATACTATAGGGCAAATATACTGTAGAGGTTATTTAAGTTCTGTAAAGATGCTCTGGTTAATGTATTGATGTCGTTAGCCAGAACCAGTGACAACGAGAACTAGGCTAACAAGGATATGTCTGGTAGATTAAAATCGGGTAATGACATCATAGTCTGGTAATCTGTGTACACTGTGTTGAAATTCAGGGTAGCTTCTGTGCAGCTGACCAATCAGATGAAGGAAGTACCTGGTCAATGCATGACTCATGCACGTATCCTCTTTATAAAGAACGTGCGGGGTTTAAGTTTCATTATGCATCATTTCGTATTCTCAGAAGGGCGTTGCAACAGCCTCCTA